TAGAACCTGGGATTAGGGTTCTATCGGGTCTGGTCGTGAGATTGGGATTTAGGGATTAAGAACAGAATTAGGGATTTGAGAAGAGAAAGATAGAGAATCGGCCTAAGCCTTTAGAGGAATTGAGATCTAGAATTGAGAGGATTGGGAGATTAGGGTTTAGGAGAGTTTTCTCAATATTCTTCTTATTGATTGAATAAACCACAAAGTACATACTTATAGCGAAAGATTGGAAAACCTAATAGACTATACTAATATGACTCAAGGACTACTAACCATAATAAATCCTAATAATAACTATAATAATAATACCATAATAAAAACCGTAGGTTTCTGTAAAAGTATTCATTAGCTTTCAAGGTAACTCACCACGAAAGCCCGGTGGAATAACAACGTATATGTGGAATCGAAAGGGACTCCTCGTTTATTTCAACGTTTAAGTTTGAATGGTCTCTCGTACAATCACACCACAAGAGTTTCTTATGTTTGGTGCATGAATCGAAAGCTGAAATTGGCATTAGAATAATACTTGTCATATTGACATCGAAAATATCTCGTGTCCACCATATACTTGAAAATTTAGGAAGAAGAAAGAAGATGAGGTTTGTAGAATGGCGTGACTGATGCACGAGAGATTGGATTGCGAATATGAACTTTGTATCACTATACTTCCATGAATGGAGCATGAGAGCAGAGGGTATATGAGATGAACAAGAAATGCATGAAAAGTTGGAAGAGGGAGGTTATTGAAAATATTATACCATGAATGGTACGCAAGAGTGGGGATGCAGCCTTGGAAGTAGCCGCAAGCATAGAGTGGCTAATTCGACCGGAATGGAGGAGTTCAGTCCTACAAAAGCTGTTGGTGTGGGAGTTTCTGATTGAGTTCTCCATCTCAACAGAAAATATCGAAAGCACAAGTATCATAGGCTTGCACTTATTGTTTTGTCTACCACAAGTTGAGGTATTGGTTCAAGCAAACTTGAGATACGGTGACAACCCCATTAGGGGTTGTGAGATTGACAACCCATTTTATAATCATAGGATCCATTCTCTCTCTTGACTCTTTCTTCTTTTTTCAAATTAATGGTACAGATTGGATTAAGGATATTTTTGGACGAAAAAAATTGACCACACTAGATTATTACCCCTATTAATACCTACAACCCTACACTCTCTCTTTCCTCTCTCTCTCTCACCATCTTTCTTCTTCCTATTCTTCTTCTTCTTCCTCCCATCTCTTCCCTCTCTCTCTATCGGCTGCCACCACCGTCGTCGCAGCCGACCCGCCACGCCCTCCGCCTCTCACCACCGTAGTCGTAGCCGACCCGCCACGTCGTCGCGGCCTCCTCCTCCCACCACCGCCGCGATGGCCTCCCACCACCACCGTCGTCGCAACCCTCCCGTCGCCCTCTGTCTCCCACCACCACCGTCGCCACGAGGTCACCGTCTCTCCCCTGCCTCCCCCTTTCGTCATCCCTATTTTTTTTCCCAGATCTGTGATTTTTCATATTTCAGATCTGATTTTTTTTGTGCTAGTCTCTAGTGGTACGCTACCAGTGGCAATGGTACTGGTACCGCTACTAGTGGTACTGGTACTGCTAATGGTACTGCTACAAGTGGTAATGGTACCGTACCACTAGCACTGGTAGCGTACCACTAGTATTGGTAGCGTACCACTAGCACTGGTAGCGTACCACTAACATTGGTATATTAATTACATGTAGACTAATAGATTGGTACATTTTTTAACGCATTGGTACATTTTTTCAGGTTGCCGGAGGGAGTCTGTCGGAGAGAATTCGCCGGAAAAAAAGTCTGTCCATCGTAGCGGAGTGGCCGCGGGAGAAAGGAAGAGAGAGATAGATAGAGATATTAATGTATAGGATTTAAATTTCAAAAAAAAATTGTATTTAATATGAATTTTTAATTCTCAATCTGGTTAATACAAAAAAGGTAATTAATATATTCCTTTTTTCATACCAAAAATAGGGATAGAATACGATAACAACACTCTATTTGTTGTTACCACTAGTATTGGTAGCGTACCACTAGCGCTGGTAGCGTACCACTAACATTGGTATATTAATTACATGTAGACTAATAGATTGGTACACTTTTTAACGCATTGGTACATTTTTTCAGGTTGCCGGAGGGAGTCTGTCGGAGAGAATTCGCCGGAAAAAAAGTCTGTCCATCGTAGCGGAGTGGCCGCGGGAGAAAGGAAGAGAGAGATAGATAGAGATATTAATGTATAGGATTTAAATTTAAAAAAAATTGTATTTAATATGAATTTTTAATTCTCAATCTGATTAATACAAAAAGGTAATTAATATATTCCTTTTTTCATACCAAAAATAGGGACAGAATACGATAACAACACTCTATTTGTTGTTACAGTAACAACATGATTCATTAAGGGTATAACTGGAAACTTACAATAAAAATAATAATTAATGAGATCCCCAAATCCAATTCCCCTCCGCTCTGTTCTCCTCCATCGCTAGCGTTCTCCTCCGATTCCCAAATTCCAACTCTCCTCCGGCGGAGAAAACCTACTCCGGCGCCGGCGAATATTAAGTACACAGGGTAGGATCTCCTTGCAGCGACCGAAATGATTCCGCCATTCTTTCTCCGTCCAGAGCTTCGCGACAACCAGCGGCAGCAGCAACGGCCACAAAGAGAAGAGAGAGATGGAGTTCGCGACGGTAGCGGCAGAAGGAAGTGACGGTGGCGGAAGAACGGAGAAGGCGGGGAGAGTGGGAAGCGGCAGAGGCTTCGTTGTCGCCGGAGACAACGGCGCCGCGGTAGTAGGCGGAGGTGACGGCCCGGAAGCGCTCCTGGACGGCGGTGTCCCAGATCTGGGCTTTGATTTTCTTGCCGGCGAACTTCTGGACGCATCCGTCGTGACACACGGTCGTCGTCTGTATGCCTCCAGCGGATTGCGTGTTCACTTAATTGACTGTTGGTTATGGATAATGAATTCTCCAGCGGGTTGAGAGGCTTCCCAATCCCAAAATCCAAAGCCGTCGTGCTTAAGTAACGAACTTTTGAGCTCCAAAACATGGTGACCAGCAACACGAAATCGCGGTGGAGGGTTGAATCGAAAGAGGAGAAAGATTGAATCTTAGGGCGGGATTTTGGGGAAGGAAGAGAAGTGACGACTACGGCGGTGGGGATGGGTTTCATCGGAGTGGAGAGTTTCGTTTCAAAGAGGGAGGCGAACGGAGATAATTGGTGGGTTAGAATGAAGGGAGAGAGTGGACGGACAATCATGTTTCCTTTTCCCTTTTTTTATTTAATTTTAAAAATAAAATTAATCCTGCCACATTAGAAAATCGAGTTGATGTGTAACTTTACTTATCACGTCAGAGTCAATTAACAGTTGACCGGACGAAAAGTTGACGATTTGGATATTAAATTGTTTTAAAAAATGTTTGGCTATTAAATTGTATTTACCATTAATATTTAAGTATTTAGATCCTAATCATCCAACATCCATGAATTTTGAGGGTTTTATATGGTTTTGATGGTTCTTTTATGTTTTTTAGTGTTTTGGTATGTATTATTGTGTTTATATATGTATTTAGGAGTTATTGGTATGAAGATCACAAGTATCTCATAAGCACACCAAAAACTTTCTAATATAAACTACAAATATGGTAAAACAAACCATAAAATGCATATCAGAAACCTTCAAATGCAAAGCACAAGTCTCGAAAAACATACCGGAAACACAAGAAAGCAAACCACTAATATTTCTAAAACACACTAGAAACTTCATAAAACAAACCACAAACATGATAAAATAAGACACAAAAAGCATACCAAAAACCTCCTAATCAAAAACACAAATCCTCTAAAACAAACCAGAAATCGCACAAAGCAAACCACAAATATTTCGAAAAGCACACTAGAACCCCCCTAATGCAAACCACAAACACGGTAAAGCAAACAAAAAACGTCATAATGCAGACCACAAATATATTAAAACAAACCAGAAACCTCGCAAAGCAAACCACAAAAGTTCCGAAAGCACACCAGAAACTTCTTAATGTATACCAGAAACCGTTGAATGCATACCACAAATCTCCTAAAACAAACCACAAACCTCATAAAGCAAACCACAACATTTGCGAAACATACTAGAAACTTCCTAATGCAAACCACAAACACATTAAATCAAACCACAAAAAAGCAAACCATAAACGTCCTAATGCAGACCACAAATATATTAAAACAAACCAGAAACCTCACAATGCAAACCACAAAGTTTTTTAAAGCAAACCAGAAACTTCTCAATGCAAACCACAAACACGATAAAGCAAACCAGAAACTTCTTAATGCAAACCACAAACACGATAAAGCAAACCACAAAAGGCATACAAAAATATGAGAAACCAAACCATAAATCTCACAATGCAGACCATAACATCCGGTGGTTGTTGGCCGTTGACCGGTCAACGAAGACCGTTGACCAAACGCCGATGACCGTCAGTGAGTAGATTCCGGCGCCGATAGGCATATTCCGGCCCCGATGACTAGATTCCGTCGCCGGTAAGCATATTCCGACGCCGGTAAGCATATTCCGGCGCCGGTGGCATATTCCGATGACAAAATAGCATATTCCGGCGACGAAAAGTATATTCCGGTGATCGGCGACCATTTTCCGGCGACCAAAATTTTGGGCCGAAAAAATAAAAAAATATATTTTTAATATTTTTAATATTTTTAATTTTTTTTAATTTTTATTATTTAAACATATTTTTCATAATGACAATTATACCCCTGCTTTGATTTTACACTAGATCAACTCATCTAATAAAAAGTCATCATAACTCTAGCTTTCTATTGGTTGGAGACTAGTGTTGTTACAATAACAACACAAAGGGTGTTATTACCGTAACTGGTCCCCCAAAAATACCCTTGTTTGTCAATCTTTGTTACCGTATCGCGTCTCCTATTTCTTCTTTTTCTCATTCACAACCCACAAAATCCAACCTATGCTGCTCTCCCACATCCTCGCTTTCTTCTTCTTTGTCTTCTCCCTCTCCTTCTCCTTCTCTCTGTTTTTCCTCTGCAGAAGTCTCAGGAGGCAGAGGCGGGAAGAAGAGCAGCACCATGACGACCCACTTCTTCTCCGAGACCCGGTTGTCAGAGCCGAATCTTTGTCGAATATGATTGATGGGGTTCGGAGAACCAGCGAAAACGAGACTGCCCATCTGCCCCATTCCCTCCTCCTCGAAATTTTGCCATCTGATTCCCCCAAATGGGCTGCTCTGTTTGGCGGTGACCCGGATGGAGCGGTGTCGGGTTATGGGGATGAATCCTCCGCCTGTGGGGAATCGCAGAAGTTGATGAAGAAGAAGAAGAAGAAGAAGAGGAAGAGAGCGAAGAAGAAGCGATTGGATTCGAAGGTGGTTGATGAGAATGTTGGCGGTGCGTGTAAAGAAGCTAAGGGTTTAGATGGGTCAGGTTTGGATTCGGGTTCGTGTAGAGTGATACCGGAGTTAGTTTGTTTGTACCCGTTTACATCAGCCAGCAGTGCCACCCAGAGGAAAATTAAGCTGCAGTATGATCAGCTAGTGAAGTGCAATGAAAAGAGAGGATTGAGATTGGCTCAGGTTTCCTTCGGTTCCTTCCTTCTGACTTCTCAATTGATGTCGGTTTGAAGTCTTCTGCTTGAGGTCGATTATAGCTTGTTTTCTCCTGATCTCTTGCATTTTGCCTTGCCATTCTACTGATGAAGGATGTTGAATTTGATCAGTGGAGTTCTCCTCATTTCATTACTTCTTCTTCTTCTTCTTCTTCTTCAATCTTGCTTGCAACTGGGAAAGATAATAAGATTGTATCCTTCTCAAGCAATTCCTTGCTTATGAAACTGTCTGTATCCTTCTCCATATGGTTAAGTAATAAAGTGGCGATGTACAGTTCAGAAGCAGAAGAAGCAGTTCGAATGCTGCAATTTCTTCACTTATATCAGACTTGACTATGCGTCAAAACAAGAAAGTTTGAATCTTGGCATCAGGGGCCACCATGCTGTTCAATGAAGTAACTGGAATGCTCACACTACATCCTTGAGCTTTCTTGTGATGAACTGGTTAAAATTTGAAATAGGACTGGTACAACATCCTAGGTCGTGATGGCCCCATAAAGATTAGTGTAGAGTTTGTTCCTCTTCATTCGTTGGAAATGTCGAATCATATTACAAATGTGCTCCATAATGCTATGGGCGTGTAAGATTTTGTCCATGACATAGTAAGCAATTACCGTGTTGAGTCTTACAATTATTACATGGGAGCTTGGATATTTTTAGTATAATAAACGATAACTGAAATGAAGCTTAGTCTAGATTTTGGCTTATGCTTACATGATGGTGGAACTTATCTTTCTACTCCATATTGTTTGGTCTACCTGGTAGATGATACGTGCAGTGCAGCTGTCTGATCCTGAGGCCATAGTTTATATATATGTAACTAGGAGCAGTGTAGTATGTAACGCCAATGTGTTATTGACTCAACTTTCATTGTTTTTCCAGGTTGCAGAGTATGCTAATTGCTTGGTCGAGGCTAGAACGGAGTTGCAGCTAGGGCTGAAATTCTGACCCTTAAAACCCGGCGACCCGTCCCGTCCCGTCCCGTCCCGTCCCGTCCCGAAGGGTCGGGCCGGGTCAATTTGCACAGAGGGACAAGTTCGGGACGGGTCTTCCTCTTGACCCTATAAGGGACGGGTCAAACTACACTCAGACCCTAAAAAACCCACCTGACCCTGTGACCCGGAAAACAGACCCGTAGAAACTAGAAATTAATCGGGACGGGTCTTCTCCTTCTTCATTCTTCTCGCCCTGAAAGAAAACCTACACCCTAAAATCTCAATCAATTCTCGACGACTTCCATCCGGGCGTCCAGCCCAATCGTCGCGCTTCCTCGTCGGCGGCGCGGTTGGAGAATCCCTTCACCGCTTCACTATACCTCTTCTCCATTCTTCTCATCGACTGAAAGGGAAACCTACAGCCTAAAATCTCCACCGATTCTCGGCGACTTCCATCCGGGCGTCCAGCCTAGTTGTTGTGCTTCCTCGTCGGCGGCGCGGTTGGAGAATCCCTTCACGATACCTCGTCGCCACCAGGACCTTGGAGAAGAAGTTGTTGGTCGAAAATCTGCATCAATTACAGGTATGTTTCTTCGGTTTCCTTCTTTCATTGTCTCTGTTTCAGCCCCAAGATTGGTTGTCTCTGGCTACTCTTACTGCTTTGATTTTTGTGGATTTGCTCATATATGTGTGGTACTCTTACTGTTTCAGCCCCAAGATGATAGCTTCTCTTTAGTTCCTATGAAAAACAGAAACTAAGAGAGCTGTGGCTTCAGCCCACTTCTAAAGCACTTTAACAGCAAAGGCAAGTGAAGCCGCAGCCACCACTGTAGTCACAGATGAAACCATAGCCCAGAAGCTCTTCTTCTTCTCTGCTTCTGCAACAGAGTTCTCCAGAGCTCCAACTCGCTGCTTCATCTCCTCCACCTTTGCATCCTTGTCTCTGAAACAGCTCTTGATCGCTTCCATTTGTTCTTCAACCTTTTCCACTGTGATTTTAGGCAAGGTGAAAACAGATTTATGCGCACTCTAGAAGGCTGAATGATAGATTTCTCGGCCAATCTTGGAATCCTAGGCTTTATGGTTTCGGGGTTAGGGAAGCTGATAAATGAAACATGATCTTTTCTAGTTATGTAACTTTTTTGGATTAAATGACTGATGGAATCCTTGGATAAGCAATATTACTTCTCTGGTTTTGCTGTTATTCAAAAGAATGATTAATTTACTTGCTCCATTGTCATTCTGCTATCCCCGGGGTATTCTTTTTTTCCAACTGTCAAATGTTCTACTTTGTTGAAATCAGAGGTGGAAGCTACATTAACTCACCTTTTCCTTTTCCTCTGTCAAGAGAATCTAGTTGCCCTTCATTAACGAGGTAACTAAGTAGACACTTTTTCTAACGAGGTAACTAAGTAGACACTTTTGCTGCTGTGGTGTTGCTTGAACAAGGTATGAAAAGTAATTTGTTTTTAACATTCACTATTTTATTTAGATCATTATTAATTTATTTGGTGTGTTGCTAATTTTGCAGAGTTGAAAGAGTCTTGCTTGGATGATTGTACTATCATGAGTGATTTAGTTGACGATGATTGAAGAATGGTGTACTTGATTATTATCGAACAATGATGTCTTGTGTGATCATGAGTATGATGTACTTGATTATTATCGAACAATGATGTATTGTGTGATCATGAGTATGATGTACTTGATTATTATCGAACAATGATGTATTGTGTGATCATGAGTATGATGTACTTGATTATTATCGAACAATGATGTCATTGATGATTATTTAATAATTGATGTCATTTCATCCTTTCATCAAGCACATATATTATGGGAGTTTGGTAAATAATTTGGTAAATAAATAATTTTCTGAAATTATTTTGGCAATTGATTAATTTTCTGGAATTAATTGGGTAAATAAATAATTTTCTGGAATTATTTTGACAATTGATTAATATTTTGGAAATATGTTGGTGATTGATTAAATTTTTGGAATATTTTGGTGGTTAATTAATTTTTTGGAATTAATTTGATGAATAGATAATTTTATGAACAGAGATTCGTAAATAAAATGATTTTTTGAAATTAATTTCGTAATTGATTAATTTTCTGAAATAATTTCATAAATAAATTATTTAACTAATTAATTAATTAATTTTCTGGAATTAATTTGATAAATAAATGATTTTCTAGAATAAATTGGGTAAATAAATAATTTTCTGGAATTATTTTGACAATTGATTAATATTTTGGAATTATGTTGGTGATTAATTAAATTTTTGGAATTATTTTGGTGATTAATTAATTTTTTGGAATTAATTTGATGAATAAATAATTATCTGAACTGAAATTCGTAAAAAAATTATTTTTTGAAATTAATTTCGTAATTGATTAATTTTCTGAAATAATTTCATAAATAAATTATTATATGAATTAATTAATTAATTTTCTGTTTTTTTTATAATTTGGTATTTAATTTTGTGTCGGAGAGGGTCGACCCGCTGACCCGTCCCGACCCTAAAGGGTCAAACAGGTTCAAGAAGAGAACAGGGACGGGACGGGTCGATTATGCAAGTTGTCCCTTTAGGGACGGGACAGACAGGGTCAGGGACGGGACAGGGACGGGACAGGCAAATTTTCAGCCCTAGTTGCAGCACAAGTATGTAAAAAATTCCTCTATTACCTATATATGCTGTCTATCTCTGAATATATAATGTAGAACCGTCAAGCTTCCTTTCTGCTAGACAATTGTCAATGGTTCTAGCAATATGCCATTGTATGAGTAATCATGACGTTGCAGTCCAATATGCCATTGTATAATAACTAATAAGGCGTTCAATTGCAAAACAAAATACTTACTTTGGAATCACTGACTCTAAATTGGGTTCAGGTGTTTATCCGAATGGCCTCACTATCAGCTATAGGTTCGCTCTTGATTGCGGTTAATTTAGTCTTTTCGTTTGTCCTTTCAGATATACAAGCTAGAAGTAGAACAAAATAGATTAGAAGAGGATGCATTTGTTTATAATTGGCTTCAACAGCGGCTTAAACTCTCACCTGCATACAAAAAGGTACATCCTTTACCTTCAATGCTTAATCAGTTAATTGGCGGGTCAGATCCGGTGCTTAAGCCTAAAAACTTAAGCATATACTTAAAGCTTTCCTATTGGCTAAAATAATTTTAGTTTGTTTATGGTAGGTTATTAGTTAGGTAGTTAGTAAGGGTAAACTAGGTATTAAAGGAAAAAATAATAGTTAATAGAAAGAGAAAATAAAAACCTAACATATTTTTCCATATCAAGCCGTCCGCCAAAAGTGACCAGATCACTCCACCGCCATCCCTCCATTATTCCATCCTCCACCTCCTCCGCCATCCCCGCCGCCGCGGAGACCCCTTTCCTCCACCAACAAATGCATCATCGAACGACACCGTCGTCCCCTCGTCGAACCCGGGCCTAGCCGCCGCCGACAGCGAGTAATTCATCACCTCCTGAAACAAACCGTCACCAGCATCCCGACAACACAGAGTGTCGCCCTTCACGCCACCATCCCGCCGCTATCCTGACGGAGCCCACGTTCAGCATTTATTATTTACATATTATAACAATGGTTATGCATAGCGTTACTGATATGTCGCTAAAGTGTTGATAATTATAGTGCATGATATTGATAATAACTCATAGTATTTTGTTGACGGGTGTATTAAGAAAAGTTAATAATAGGTGATTATTAACATTTTTCAATGATTTTTTATGTTGCTAATATTGTAAATAATAGTTTAATATTAATACTAATCATTTGTTTTTTTAAATATTAATGATGCATCCCAGAAACATTGATAAGAGAACATAAGATTGTTAGCAATGGACTCTTAATCTTTGAATTATTGGTAAATGTTAAATTTATATGATTTATGGAAAAAAACGACGATATACCATTAACAATATTTTCATAAGCAAATAATTATTAATGTAGCATTAATAATGATTTTGTATTTTGTTAATGATACATCTCATTAGCATTGATAATATTGTATCAGATTGTTAACGTTGAGCCTAAAAATGTTAATATTTAAATTTTTCATTATTGTTAATGCTAATAACAATTACATTACATCAAGGTTGATAACATTACATTATATCGTTAACAATGAGTCTAAAACCATTAACAAACAACAACAAAATTATTTATGAGAAGATGATAATGCTTTTGTAATAACATTGATAATTCAAGCAGAAAAGTTGGTAACATTACCTTTGATTGATAACAATAATAAAAACATATAATACACTTTATCAACGAGTTTATAAACCTCACATGCAAATTGGAAAACATTAACATTTTTTTTCTATCATTAGCAATTACATTCATATAAAAAATATTGATTTTGCATATTGACGGGGACTGATATTCTTCACCATCTGCGACTTTGACATTTGCTACATAATGGATATGTGATTTCACCTATTGTAACTATTGCCCTCAACTTATGGCTGCTCGATCTTGGGCTTGTTTCTAGGTAGAACAGTCTTACGTGATGTGTTCATGTCATGCCATCAAACTACACAAAGAAAGATGCACAACAAATTTGTGAAAATGACATAATCCATGTAACAATAACCATGTAATAAACTATGCTTGTAAGTTGATAGAGATGGAACAAACCTTCTAATAACGTAACAAAAAATTATTGCTTACGAAATTGAAAATTGATGACAGTCAAACCACTAGCATGAATGATGAATTGATGCAATATTAAGTGTCAAGTACCATCAATTTCATTAAAAAACTGTTGGTTTCCGTTCAAACATAAATAAATAAACATTAAAAAGGATTTGCGTAATTTATTTAGCGATAGCAAACCGTTAATAATGCTATTGTAAATCCTTAATATCTTATATGTGTTTCGTTGATGATGTAAGAATACTTGTTACTAATACTTGATTCTCCATTAATTGTCAATAAACACAAAAAAATTGATAACGAGGTTGTATCCAGTTGATAATTAATAGTGATTGGCTTCAAGTTTATATATTCTAGAACTTTAACACACCCTTCAAATTAGCTAATAAACATAGATAAAATTGTTACTAATGTCTGATTTAGTCACAAACATGATTTAAAATTGTTAATAATGAACGAGATTGATAATAAAACTGTCAATAATTACAAAAAAGGCATATAAATATATTGATAATGATTGTATAGTGGTCGGAAATAAATAACATGACTTAATCACATACATGCATAAGCCGCTTCCCATTCGACCCTAACAAAATTGATAGCTCCAATCAAAATCGTTAACAATTAAATGGGGATTTATTAATAACTCAAATATCGTAATCACGCGGATGGACAGAAAACTATTACTAGTTTGATGACGTTGAAACTATTGTAAATTTAGGGCGAAAAATTAAAATGTTACAACGTCAACTCCGACATCTTTTTCCCGGCGAGTATAATAAACGAGAAACGTGCAATCGTAAGTAAGACGACAACCAAAGGATTTGCAGCTTTTCCCCCGACAAGGATTACCTATCGTTTGTGTTGGGGGAAAGAGGAACGCCGGCGGCAACAAGGAAGTGGTCTCGTCTAACACGGCTGGGAAGAAGACGAATTTAAAAAATAAAAACCTAACCGGCAGCTCTATGGTTGGTTTTAGGGTTTACGTTTAGTTTTTATTTAATTATGAAAATATGTTAAATTTTAAATAAGTAAAATACACAATTTACTTCAATACCCTTAATCAATTATTAACTAATAACTACTAATTAACCACTCAATCCACTAACAACCAATAGGATTAATTTAAGCATATGCTTAAGCTTTTGGGCTTAAGCACATGAACCCAGGCCGTTAACTGGAGCATTTTATATCCTCAGACCTCAATACTTAAGTTGTAGACTTCAATTGTCTACTTTATGAGTGACAACGTTTGCTTCTTCGCCTCTCTAATGCTTTTGTATTTAAGATGCTTGAAATCAGTGCCAGCATGGAGGAGATCAAGCCTAGTGACATAATGGAAGACAATGATGCTGAATTTGCCGATATTTCATTCGAAGAGCTATTAGCACAAGAAAAGAAGGACTCATTTTGGTTAGCTACTTGCAACATTCTTAGTTATTACCTCATTACGTGAAAACAATCTGGTTGCTAACGTCTTTACCATAAATGTTGAACAGACAGAAGAATGGGAAGTCGCGGACATGGACGAGTTGAAAAGATCAATAGACAGCATCGCCATGGTGCTGGTTGTTAGCGAGCTTGATGTTCCAAGGAATCACCTTTTTTTGTCACCACCCAGTCCCAGTGGCCTGCTGCTTGTGAGCACAAGGTGTTCAACTGAAGGAATTGGGACTCTGCTAATGCCTGAGGGAGCTAATTACTGTCCTGTAGGAATAGAGTGTGGATGAATTTTTGCCTTTTTGGGGCAATAATGTTCTGTTTGCTGAAACCTTGGATGGATGGCCTAATCGAGCATCGACCTGGGGCTGCGGCAGGACTTTATCAGTTTGCATAATGTAACATCACTGAATTGGAGATGTAAGGTCATTCGATGGTAATAGTTTTTGGAGGGCTTCAGAGGATTTCCCATTGTTCTAACTTTTAATAGTTTATTATTTTATTTTTATCTTTTTAATAGTTAGAAGTGAGATGAGAATTTTATAAAATTACTATATTTTAACTAACATATCACATATTTAATGGTCAATTTGACCGCCACGTAAGCAAAAGTTAACGGAGTTGGACGGAGAGTGATCAAACTTAAACTATTTTACTAATTTTAGTTACCACGAATGGAATTAAATATTTCTAGTGACCAATCATAAACGTTTTTTGTAATCTCAGTGAACGTTTTTTGTAATCTCAGTGACCAAACATGCAATTAAGGAGTGTGAATATCTGTTCGAACTGAAGTGACCGTGAATTTTGCATACCCTTGTCACGTAGGCTCAGCGTGGACCAATTGGGCGCTTTCCGCTTTAATGACAAGATTGACGACTACGCTGCCAACAATTAAACTACCAAACAATGTTCAGGCTCGAGTTAGCAGAGGAAAGAACTGGGTTTTACAACACTCAAAAATAGGATACTGGATCCATTCCATATAAAACCATGTTTTGCTATTACAATAAGGAGGAAAAAAACTACAATTGTCTGCGTTTATGCCTTCTAATGGTGCAACGAAGTGCAACGTGTGATCTACATTACCCTGTCAAATCCTCATCCAGGCAACAAGATTAAACATTTTAAAGTTAACCAGTTAAAAAGAAAGAACAGCCAGCCAAGGCCCCTAAATCTATCAGCAGCATCAGAAACATCAACAGGGCCAAAACTCTCCAGGTATCGATAGCCATCTTTCTTTTGGCGCAAGCAAGCAACAAAAACTGGACCGAGGTAAGCACAGCTACTTGGTTTTGACCTTGGAACATATTGTGTATTCCTCTTCTATCAGTCGATTTTCACAGATGAGTATATCTTCTTGACGAACCAGAAACAGGCATAGAACCCTATAGTTCCAGTCAAGACGAAGAATGCATACGAAATGATCACCATATACCCAAAGTAGAGGACCCCTGAGACAAACTTCGAGATCTCCAACTTGGTGAAGAAGTAGAAGATGGAGTATAGGAAAAGGTAAACAGCAGAAGAACCAGCAGTGAGATAGGACTTCCACCACCAGTGGTAGTCCTCACTACACAGCTGGAAGTAGCATAGCACGATCGTTATCTCAGCACAAGTTATCAACAGGATGACAAACACTATAAAGAGGAAGCCAAAGATGTAGTAGAACTGGTTCAGCCAGATCGAGGTCAAGATGAAGAAGAGCTCGATGAAGACAGCACCAAATGGGAGAATGCCACCAATGAGGATGGAGAAGACGGGCTTCATGTACCATGCCTGCTCTGGGACTTGCCTCGGAATCTTGTTCGTTTTGACAGGATCTTCGATAGCTGGTTTTTTGTAACCCAAGTAACTACCGACAAAAACAAGTGGGACAGAGATACCAAACCATAAGCAAACCAGAGCAAACATAGTTCCAAAAGGGACAGCACCTGAAGACTTCTCTCCCCAAATGAGAGCATTCAGGACAAAGAACACTGCAAAGAGGATACCCGGGAACATGAATGCTGTTTTTAGGGTGTTTCTCTTCCACTCTGTGCCTTTGAACATTTTG